CTTGACTCAAGCCAAGCACAAAATTTTAGATCAAAATGCAGCGAAGCAATCTTGGTGACAGAGAGCATTATGGTGGCAGGTTTAATGATATTCAGCGGGAAAGATTTCCGTTGGCGGCGGCCATTTTGCCGTCAAATTTAATCTGTCTGCTATTATTATTATTAACATTGTTTTCTAGCTGTTTAAGCAACCTTTCCTATCCGGTGTAGGATTTATTAAACAAAGCAATCGAAACTTTTATTCCTTGTAATTATGAAACTTATACCTATGCATGAAATTATAACACAGCAAACTCTAACTATAGTGACAGTTGTATTTCAATGCAGATTTCATTTTAAGCTGGTAAACGTGTGACAAAATTTTCACTTCTTTTCATTCTGCATTTTGAACGCAATTGTTTGTCTTCAACTACAGATAAAAATTATTGTTTGTCATTTTACTATAAATATGCATAGTGATTTCCCAAGCGTAGCACTATGCCGAAAGTAGAATTGAACCCAGTGAGGTCCGAACTCACTACTCAGTCGCAATTGTTCTTGCGAGACAAGCTTGCTAACCATTACGCCGGCTGGAGGTGCCTTTATAAATATATGTAGTTGGCAATTCTACTATAAATAGATAGTGTTGATAAAAATATCAGCAATACATTTTTATACATATAAAAATTTTGCTGATATGTTTACCATAAAAATGTATTTTTATACTTTCCTAGTGATTTGTTATTGTTAGGGGGTTCACTGTTTGCCCATATCTGGGACCCTAACATGTTTTACCACGCTGAGCCAGGATGGACATGGTAACTATAGCATTTAACAGGTGGTTCCACGCTTTAGAGGTCTTACTGCCGGATGTAGTTTATCGTCAAACCCAGGACTAACGAATTAATGCAGGCGTTTCTGATAGATAAGTATAGGATAGATAAGTAATATAAATATTGTTTCTTATTATTTTATTGCAGAAATGCGTGGAAAATATTGAAAATTGAGTGTCAGTGTTTTTATTGTGGTTGATAGAATGCCTAGATGCAAATATTATGTACGCAATTTTTCTTGAGATAGTAAAGTTTATTTTTTATATAGGTCTTACTAATGAACCCATAGCTGTGAGAGAAAAGGAGGTTACATTCTTTTCCAAGTCTATTTGTGAGTAGTGAATATTATGAACCTAACTAGAATTGGAAACTGGCTCTCCGATTAACAATTACGAGTCGTTATCTATTACACCCGCCGCACATCCAAGTTCATAACACCTGATATTTTCAAGCTGTCACCTATATAGTTTAACTTCGGCAATTGTACGTGGACTGGTCTTTCAACGTGATATGGTCATAAGCTTTTGTCAGTGTTCAGAAAATGATGATTATTTGAACATTCTTCGAAAATAATTGTTCGAAAAAAATATTCGAAAAACATTTATTCCAATTGTAAATTATTTGAATGAAAATTAATCGAGATGACAATTATACTAAATAATAATTATTCGATATGAAAAATTCTTTATTGCATTAAAAACGTAAAAATTAAAAGAGGAAATACACAAATGATAATTATTCGAAATAAAAATGTCGTTAATAAAACAATTTAGTGAGAAAAATCCTCATAAACTTAAGATAAATAATACTACACACAAATAGTCAACAACAAGGCTAAAGAACCTAGTTTGTCCTGCTATTCAACACGTAGCTGAGAGAGAAGAGACAGATTAATACGTTTCCCAAGGATATTTGTAAGCAAGTGGACTGGTCTTTCAACGTGATATGGCCATAAGCTTTTGTCAGAAAATTATGATTATTTGAAAATTCTTCGAAAATAATTGTTCGAAAACAATTATTCGAAAAACATTTATTCGAATTGTAAATTGTTTGAATGAAAATTAATCGAAAGGAAAATTATGCTAAATGATAATTATCCGAAATTCAATATTATTTATTGCAATGAAAATGTATAAATTAAAAGAAATAAAAAAAATGCTAATTATTCGAAATATAAATATCGTTAATAAAACAATTAAATTAGAAAAAAATGTACTCTTATCAGTCAGTTAAGTGCCATACGTGATACACGCTTGGGCGATCATGTATCTTTCGATACATGACTGACGAGCCAGAACTATTCAACACATACTTTGGCGAGAAGAGATATATTCATACATTTCCTAAGCATATTGGTGCGTGAGTGAATCTAAAGAACTCGACTAGAATTCGAACACGGCTCTCCTATTTCTCAATCCGAGCCGATATCTATAACACCACAACGCAAATCCTTATCTAATATAATATTATATATCTTTATAACCTTAAATTATATAATACTATATTGTGGGATGATGGGATGAAATTTGCTTGCAAAAAAGCCCTATGCCACCCTTCAAGGGCGTTATCTGATCTAAATAAATCAGTATTGACTCTCTCGAAGCAAGACCGCATACGTATTTCAAACATAGGTATTTTTGAATAATTATCATTTTGTACAATTGTTCTTTCGATTAATTTGCATTCAAACAATTTTAGTATTTGAATAGTTTTTTTTCGAATAATTGTTTTCAAATAATTTTTCGCACAATAATTTTTTAACAATTTTCTCAATATGGAGATTATTACAAACTTCTATGTGAACAACTCACTGTGCGTTATCTTTCACTAACATGAAGTAGCATGGCCATATTGAAGGAATTGCTAAGTTTGCTGCTAGAAAAGTCGGCTCACTGTGTCGTACGAGACAATTTTTCTCGCCGAAATCTGTCTTGTACATGTGTAAGTCTACCACTCACACGTGCATCCAATATTGCTACCGCACCAGGTCTGGATGTTCTGTTACATAATTAGGGATTCTCGACAAAATCCAAATAAGAATCTGCAACTTTGTCGGCCCTGACCTGGCATCTTGGTTTCACTCGCTTTCCCACACACTGCTGTAACGTAACTTGGCTTTTCTGTCTTTTTTTCGCGGGAATAGCTCTTCACGAATAGATTTCACGAATTTGAACGCAGTACTAGATTGGCAATTAGGTCGCATAATTTAATGTTGCAATTGCTAATTGTAACCATTCGATGCTAATAGTTTATTCTCTGACACTTCTCGTTTGTGGAAAGCCCTGTTCGCTTTCCTGCTTTTCAGTTTCCTGCTTTTCTGTCAAACATATAAGCACAACATAAGCCGTCTTCTTCTGCCTCCTTAAATCTCTTTCTTTATTGTCGGCTCTGTTTCTTCCACCGTCAGTAACTCCATTGTGATTGGTATGGCCTTGCTTGAGTGTAAAACAATTAAAGAAAAGAACTCTTTTATTTTATCCACCGGAGTAGATTGTTCTGGTTCCACGTGCCGCGCCTCTTCCGAATGTCTCATTATCTGTTATCTCCCTTTAATTCAAATCTCCATGTTTTTGTTCGACTCACAAACTCTTTTGGCCAAGTCCCCGGATTCAACCAACGCTTTTATTAACATTTATCCAGTGGATAAAAGTGAACAACAACTCGGAGAGTTGTGTTAGGGAGGGGGAGATAACTGATACTGATCCATCCGGAAGAGGCATGGCACATGAAACTAGAACAATCTGCCCCAGTGGATGGGATAAAGGGTTCAGTTCGAAATTCCTATCACCTGAAGAAGGACGGACTGTACATCGGCAGAAACGCCGTGAATATGGCAACGAAGATGAGGACAACAGTCCGAACAATGTAAATAGTGTAAATAATTACAATACTCCATCTCAAAAATATAGACAGATATTAAAGAAAAAAAGTTTTACTGATTGGATAAATTTATAGAATGAATCCTGTAACCTAATATCTAATTGGTTTTACAACAGAACTCTATGGAAAGTAAAGGGTCCTGAATGGCAGTGTTTGAGAACTAATGCAAGTGTTACTGACAGGATACAGTTATTAGATTAATAATGAGTAACTTAATAATAAGTTTACGTTAGTGTAACGAGTATCGAGGCTAAATATGGAATCGTCGACCCGAGTTAAAATTCCTGGTTAATCTGTTGTGTTCAATTTCACACTAATGTGACCTGGAAATTGCATAGATCTATTAGGTTGGTGCAAAAATAATGACGTAACAATGTCGTTTTTTGACGTTAAAAAATACGTCAAAAAACGACATTATTACGTTATTATTTTTGCACCAACCTAATATATCTCACCTCAGCCAGTATTTAAATGGCAGAATAGACTAAACAGTCTAGCATCGGTTGGCAACCTAACTTGGAGAAAGAAAACTGAAAACGTATGGAATATTGGAGTCATATATGGCCAGGTGACCCCGCTGTAAGTCTGTGACGTCTTCGACAAGATCTAGAGATGGATATGCAATGTGATAGGTCCTGATCTGGCATCTAGTCTACAGTCGCTTTCTCACAGGCGTACCTTGGCTTCCCTCTGTCTCTTCTATAATGATTTTCACGGCAACTGTTTTAACAAGTTACTTTCGCTTGTTTCCAGACTGCATGAATTTAAGCGAGCTACTAGGCTGGCATCTCGGTCCCACCCTTTCACTTTCGATATGCTTAAATGTAACCATCTCTTATACTCAAACAGCTTCTTCTTTTGAACTTGGTGTTTTGTTGGATTCTTTTAAAAACACCTACAGTAAAATGGAAATTAATTAGAAAAGCTAGAATATGTAGGTCATTAAATGACCCATGTTCATGAGAAACTATATATTACTAAGTTTATAAAAAAATAAAAATTTACTGAATCAAAGAAATGAAATAGCTATTCTTTGCTGTCATAGTAAAAAAAATTACTTAAATAATATTTAGAAATAAAATAAAAAAAATGGGAGTTTTCTTATATTATCACTTTCTCTCTCTCTCGCTTTCTTTATTTCTCTCACGCAATCTCTCTCTCCCTCTCTCTCGCTTTCTTTCTTTCTTTCTTTCACTCTTTCTTTCTCTCACGCTTTCTTTCTTTCTCTCTCGCTCGCCAGCTTTCATTCCCGCTCACTCACTCTCTCTCGCTCATTCTCTTTCTCACTCTTTCCCTAGCCCACTCTCTCACTTGCTCTCTTTCTTTCTCTCTCTCTCATTCGCTCTCACTCTTTCTCTCTCACTTTCTGTCTCTCTCTCGCTCACTTTTTCTCACTCTTTCTCTCCCCCACTCACTCTCACTCACCCTTTCTCTCCCCAATATAGTTTTCTCAGTTTCCTTCACTCCCACTAACACCTTGCATCTTAGGGACTTTTTCTCTTTGCTTGGGATGAAATAATTAATAAAAAAGTTGATTTAATTATTGTTATTTGTTATTTTACTACAGTAATGCATTGTAAATTTATTTTATTTTACTATAGAAATGCATGCTATTTTTTTTATATTTAACAATAGTATATTGTATTGTAATTATCTTATATTTTACTATAGAAGTTCATTGTATTTTTTCTTTATATTTTACTACACAGAAATTTAGAGGAAAAGGTAGGTTAGTGGACGAGATATTAATGTTAATGTTCAAAATTTTTATTATCCAGATTTCTGAGAGAAAGTTCTCTAAACTTATTCATTTTGACAATGAAATTAATTTTGACATATACGATAGATAAGCGAGACAAGATATCAGTGCGGGCCTTGTTGCCATATAGATACGATAGAAACACGTCGGCGTTGGCGATACCACGGTTTCGCGAGAAGCACGTTCAATCACCTTCCTTGAAAGATGATCTATTGGGACAAGGTGTGTAACACGCACAAGACACTAAAGTAGATTGGACATGCAAGGCGTTCGGTGTGATCGAACGACAAGACCGTGCGTGAAATGGCCCTGGACAACGGCTGGACTTAGACGGGGATTTAGAATTCAAAAGCCGACTACATGCGCACTAGTGGGTTTCCGATTCGCTTATGTCAGTCATATTGTGGTATGCTGCTCTCGCTTGAAAAGGAACGAGATCCTATGAGTTGATCTTATTATGAACTGGAGTAACAAGAATAAATATTTCTTACCCTCATCATCATCATATATATATATATATATATATATATATATATATATATATATATATATATATATATATATATATATATTTACGAGTGTGTGTGTGTGTCTGTGTGTGTGTCAAGTTGGTCAGAGCTAACTAGTAAACAACATGTGTATTCTCACGCACTTCCTGTATGTATATGTACATAAATAAATGCGTGTGTATGCGTGCACGCTCGGACAGCAGTGTGTGTGCGTGTCTATTTGTGAGGGGATATGCATAACTAAGTCATAAACAATTTATGTAACAATTATTTCACTTTCTCTCTCAATCTCTCTCCTCATCTATCTACCTCTCTATATATAATCTATCTATCTATCTATCTATCTATCTATCTATCTATCTTCATGTTTGACTATCCAAATCTGTTAGGATCTATCTATCTATCTATCTATCTATCTATCTATCTATCTATCTGTCTGTCTGTATATCTATTTGTCTACCTCAGTCTACTAGTATCTTTGTATAAGTCTATGCTTGTATATCTCGGTCTGTTAGTATCTATCTGTCTGTCTATCTCTTCTCTCTCTCTCTCTCTCTCTCTCTCTCTTTACAGTGAAACTACTCTCCATCTTCCTTTTACCTCTCTCTTTTTTGTCTCTCTACCTTTGCCACTAACTACATTGGTCTGTCCATTTCAAGCTACCGATAAAACCGTATGAATAGACACTAGATTTATCTCTCCATACTAATTGCATGTCGGACTATTTAAAGCTAGACATCAATCTAGTTGGTCACTCGTTATAACAATTTTCCACCCCTCTGTCTCTCTTACTTTATGTATTTATCTCTATATCTTGCTAGCTAGTGAAGACGTACAACTCATAAATAGCTATATATCGAACGGGTTATTTCTCTATTTCTAGCTCGCTAGCGAATGAGCTATAAATTCTAATTCCTTTCACCCTCTTTCTCTTTCTACTTCTTCCCCCTCCCCTTCTTCATCCTTTTTCCCTCTCACTCTATCTTCTTAGATACAACACTCTGTAAACTCAGTTCATTATCTATCTATCTATCTATCTATCTATCTATCTATCTATCTAGATCTCTTCATTATCAATCTAACTATCTATCTATTTATTTATCTATCTAGATCTCTTCATTATCTATCTATCTATCTATCTATCTATCTATCTATCTATCTATCTATCTATCTATCCGATTTTTCATCCTTTCCTCTGTCTATTTCAGTATCCATCTATCTATCTATCTATCTATCTATCTATCTATCTATCTATCCGATTTTTCATCCTTTCCTCTGTCTATTTCAGTCTTCATCTATCTATCTATCTATCTATCCGATTTTTCATCCTTTCCTCTGTCTATTTCAGTATCCATCTATCTATCTATATATATATATATTATATATAAATATATATCCCATTTTCAGCCTTTCCTCTGTCTATTTCAGTCTTCATCTATCTATCTATCTATCTATCTATCTATCTACTTATATATATATATATGTGTGTGTGTGTGTGCGTCTACACCCAATCGTTTCGTTATCTATATACCTATCACTAACACCATTCTTCTATTTTGTCACTCTTTCACTCTCTCTTTCTCAATATAGGTCAAGATTTTCGTGTATATATATATATATATATATATATATATATATATATATATATCCGTTCCCATATTGCTACACTATATCCCGATCTGACCTGACAATAAAGACACCTCAAGATATGCACATTAAAAAGTGTAAACATACAACACAATTGTCGCCGAGACTTTCCACCGATCGAATAATGATTTCTCCATATTGCATTTCCGTTCTCATTTTCGTTGGCGTGCATCGAAAGCTGGTAAAGGGTCTGCTGCGCGTACACAAGGAAATGATAACGCAAAACTTATTTCCTACATTTTATTTACACGTTTATTCTGGGCTTCGCCTGGGTGGATAGGAAAGTAACACTTGGGACAACTTCTACGATGTCCGTCTCGAAGAACAGGTCTTCACCCGCACAACTTCTACGAAACTGCACATCATGACATAGGAGTGGCAACAAGAACATGCATCGGAACCAAATGACGGACAAGTCCATTTCTCGACAAGAAGTGAGTCTCCGATCCGAATCATAATTTTTAGTATAAACCAGCAACCGGATAATCCCCATTTCTGGTTTTGTATTCGATTCGTTTCCAGAAACCCCCTCATCAACTTCTTTACTAACCCGTTCCCCTTGGGTCAAAATGGATGCTGCCTAAAAGACTAAACTTCAAAAAGAACCATGTACTGGATACTAAGCAGAAACGCTTCTGATCGAGATAAAATCACATATTTCTTCTGTATGTGAGTAACCATAATAACCTGAGGATTGCGCCTACCATGAAACAGCCTGTCGCCTCTGAGTGTTGACTTCAATGTTCTCTTTTATATACATATATATATATATGTGTATGTGTGTGGATGGATTGTGCGAAAATATAAACAAAAACGTCGGTTATAATTAGAATTCACATGAACCGCTGATGATATAGACACACTAAATTTTGGATTTTACATTTCTGGTATCCAGTGTGTCTAGACATGGCTTAATTGACTTCATTTAGCTTCCCAATGCTTTGTAATATGAAACATTGTGATGGCAGTAAATCGGTTAAGAAATTACTGAATTAATCATTGAAGATTCATAAATTAGTATACGGTCACTAAATTTTCGCCAACGTAAATTACCTTCCTTTTTAATTAAAGCTGCATTGTCTAGGTCAAATTATTGCCAGATTCATTACAATGACCACACAATGCCTTATTGTTTTCTGTTCATACACACTTTTATTTAAATGTTTAGAAATCTCACCAACGCAATACTGGTGACGTATTTACAGTCTATAGTTTATATTCTTGCTTTAGTTTTTAGGTTGTTAGTTTATTGTTTTGTATTAATTAAATTTTTTATTGTTTTTGAAGTAGTTGTAACAAACTTTATATTTGTTGCATTGTCGCAATATTCAATGTGGCTCGAAGTGGTTTTTGCCTCACGGTGGGGCGCATCGGTTATCTTCAGGCCAATAAGCCAGAGTTGCGCCATCTAAACTCAAAAGTCAGGCGAAATGTTTTCTTGGCACAAAGCTATGGAATCTGTATCTACCGATTTTATTGTCGCCAACAGGAAAACGTTGCGGACTGATTGTCAGTGAGGAATTTCCCTACCACGCAATTGCAACAGCTTTTTACCAACAAAACCTCGCCAAGATGCTGATTAGTCAATTCACGAACTAGACCCGGTCATATCATGATTATTTTTATTTTTTTCTTACGGGATTTGAGATCCTATCAAATGTGTCATATTTTAGAAATACAATATATTTTCAACAACCTGTGTGACTTTTTTTTTTACTTAGCTGTTTTTTTTTTTTATTTATTTATCTTTAGCTTCGAAACGAATTTACTTGATTCTATTTTTGTATACAGGTTTAATAAAAAAGAATGAACCGATTTCATTACGCAATATTTTAATAAGGAAATAGCAATAGAAAACTCCAGCCAAGTCACAAGTATTCTACTCACAATCAAATTTTATTTTCTGTCTTACAAGTGTTCTATGTGGCCACCACCTGCAGCATGGGCAACATCAATGCGATAAGAGAATTCCCCCCAGAATTCGAAGTTCAAGCTCATCGAGTTTAGTGGATAGCGGTGGAACATAAACCTGGTATCCCCACAAGGAAAGATTACAGGCGGTGAGGTCTGGGGATCTTGCGGGCAAAACACAAACAACAAAGTCTTTTTAAGTGCCTGAACGAGGGGGAGTCTGTAAGATTTCAAATGTAGACGACTTCTTTGCACACGCCACATAGTGGATTGAGAAATCGCAAGCTCACAACTAGCTCGATTTGTGGACTCCCCCCCCCGCTCAAATTCAGTACGGATCCTCGTCACTTGTTACTCCGAAATTCGTGGTCGTCCTGGACTTTTCCCTTTACACAGACGTTCACTTTTTTGAAACTGTTTAAATCACCGTCGAATATTCTTAGGAGAGGGCGGATTAATGTCGAATTACCTACAAATAGTACGCTGCACCGTGACAACTGTATTTGTTTTCGCGAACTCGAGAACGCAGAACGCCTTTGCCTGAGGATTCGCCATTCCGAGGATAAACAAACAACTGAATGTTGCCGGAGATACGGCGCGACTACAGCGCCACTGTAGCAGCCATTCAAAACTTTGAAAACTCCTCTTTCAAATGGTCACTTACTCATATCATGACGGTACTTGAGAACTGAAGCAATGCGTCATGAAATCGGCTCATTCATTTTGAATAACCCTGTATGTCTATCTATTTATCTGCTTCATTCTACTCATTATATATCTGTTTAATATCTATTTATTTATCTATCTTAATTTGTGCATATATCTCAGGTGGTAATTACAGACTTTTACAGTTTCATCATAAATATTTCTCCCAACTTCTTCCCCTTTCACTCTTTCTTTATTTCATTCTTTCCTATCTCTCAAACCCTCTCTCCGTCTTTCTATCCACATTTTTTTATCTATCTATCTATCTATCTATCTATCTATCTATCTATCTATCTATCTATCTATCCCATCTTTTCACTATCTATCTATCTATCTATCTATCTATCTCTTCATTATCTATCTATCTATCTATCTATCTATCTATCTATCTATCTCTTCACTATCTATTTATCACATCACTTCACTATCTATCTATCTATCTATCTATCTATCTATATCGATCTCTTCCGATCATGATCATGTCCTCCCAGTCCATGTTGAACTGGTCAGAGCTATCTAAATATATATTTATCTGATCATTCCTCTTCCTCTCTCTGTTTATCGACGTCAGTCAATTCATATCTCAGTCTCTATCTATATAATTATTTATGTGATTATATCTATATTATATTTATATATGTAGGCATGTAAACACTAGATCAGCAGACGATAAAATTAAGAATCATATATTTAAAATCAAACGACAAAACTATATTCGGGGGATATAAATTAAGGTTCGCAATGGGAAATTCAGAAAACAACTATAAAATATTATATAGCTAATATTTCGCGCTTTTTTTTAAAAGGTTTTATAGGCTTGACAGCAGACGATGCAGTGTTTTGATTTACAATCAATTACAGCACTTTTTGTTGCAATAAATAGACAAGGACAGTGTAAAAAGCCAGGGGAACGGAATGGAATAGAGATGCAATAGGCAAAGAAAAAATGGGTAAAGAATAGAATAGAATAATTGGGAGGGCGATGGTTGCTAAGAGACGTAAGATAGAAACTAAAAAAAAAGTAATAGTTTTTGAAGTTAAGAGAAGACAAGAAAACGGATATAAAAAAGAAAACACTGACAAAGAGAGACGAAGTAAAAGAAGAAAAAGAAAGCTCAATGCAAATAAGAAAAGAGCGGAAATATGTAAGAAAGAAAAGTGATAGAGAAAGAAAGGATATTTCTTTCTATTTCAAAACATGATGAAGAATTTTACACCAAATATTTTGAATGTAGATTCTACAAAAATAGCAATGCATAAATAAAAAATAATTTTCTCTTCGACACTTTTGCGCAAGTCCGGAATACTTCAATGGTACATAGGAAAAATACGTTGGAGTAATGGATTGCGGCTCGGATTGAGGAATCGGAGAGCCGAGTTCGAATTCCAGTCGAATCCATTACATTCACTTAAGTGATAATATCCTTGGGAAAGGTAAAATTCTCTTCTTCTCCCCCACAGCATATGAATAAATAGACAAACAGACCGGGTTCTATAGCACACGCACAAAGAAATGGCAACCTACTGTGGGAAAATATCTGCCTCGAAAAATACATGATTGCATAAACATGGCTCATAACTGACTGTACCCGAGATAAATGTGCCCTCCACCAGGATTCGAACCTATGCCCTAGTTTTACAGGAGACACTACAAGCCTACGTGCGTACTCCAATCAACGAAGAGCTTGACAATCAAGCAACGATTATATTTTGCCTTTAAAGAGCCCTCAATCTTTCAGATTTGTCACAGAACGCATATCTGCTTGGTTTCGTAATCGAAACGTAAACAAAGTAATTACTAAAGAATTAATGGATTTTTTTTTATTTTTCAATCCAACATAATTTTTATTATTTCAGTCATAATTTATATTGGATATTCCTCTTTGAGTAGATGTTGCATTTATTCTGTAACAGCATTTATTTCGTCTATCAGCCACCACATTTGATAAAACTTAATAGAGTAAAACCTGCCGGGGGACACATTTTCTTTATGTCGAATATTACGTTTTCTGTTAAAACACTTCTGAGATATTTATCTATATTTCTGAGATGAGGTTTGTAATTATATACGCTATTTACATTGTTCAGACTGTTGTCCTCATCTTCGTTGCCAGGTTCACGACGTTTCGGCCGTTTTATGCACCCGCCTTCCTCAGGATCTGTCTATATTTCTGAGATGAGGCATTGTAATTATTTACTCTATTTACATTGTTCGGACTGTTTCCCTTATCTTCGTTGCCATATTGATGACGTTTAGACCATTTTACGCTCCGGCCTTCTTCATGTAACTGGAATTTCGAACCGAACATTTTATTTCTTGGGGACCCATAGCCCAGTGGACAAAAGCGTCGGTTGAATCCAGTGACTTGACCCAAAGGGTTGTGAGATCAATACCTGACTACAGCAGGTGGTGACCAAAGATCTTGGAGAGTTTAGATAAAAGGGATACTGATACTAAGATATCTGGAAGAGGCATGGCACATGGAACTAGAACAGTCTAACCCGATTAACGAAATAATGGGGTCGGTTCGAAATTCCAGTCACCTAAAGAAGGCTGGAGCGTACAACGGACGAAAGGTCGGGAATATGGCAACAAAGATGAGGACAACAGGTTGAACAATGTAAATAGTGAAAATCACCTCCTAGATACATAATTCTTTTGCAATTGTTTATTTTGTTGTAGTTCGCATATTAGCCGGTTTCTTTCGCGACCAAACATACATTCTGTCTTTTTACAATTTAGAAGTCATCTTTTCTTCTCGATTTCCTAAATATCTATGGCCTAGAGTTCCTGTAGTTCCCTTTCTACGTCTGCTGTCAGTATTGTGTCATCTGCATATCTTATGTTGTTAAAAATGTGGCCACCGATAATGAACTCTGGTAGGACTTCTATCAGAATCACCTTGCTGTATAGGTCAGTACTCATTTCTTTGTTTGTAACGAAATTTTAGATCACGCACAAAGATCGGAAGCAAAAATATATACATATATATATATATATATATATATATATATATATAGAGAGAGAGATAGATAGATAAATAAATAGATAGAGAGAGAGAGAGAGAGACAGACAGACAGACAGACAAAGAAAGAGAGAGAGAAAAACAAAAACAATGAAAATAAAAACTGAAGAAAGCGGAGATAGATATAATGATAGAGAAAGGGCGGGTGAGGAAAGAGAGAGAGAGAGAACAAAGAGAAAGACCTGAATTAAAAACGGGGGCAATGAAAGCGGATATATATATATATATAGAGAGAGAGAGATAGAGAGAGGGGGAGAGAGGGATAGTTAGATAGATAGATAGATAGATAGATAGATAGAGAGAGAGAGAGAGAGAGAGAGAATGATCTTAATGAAAAATGGAGATGAAAAAAACGGAGATAAATAGAGAGAGATCAAGAGAGAGAGAGAGAGAGTGGAGGAAAGAGAGAGATAGTGGAGGAGGAAAGGGAGAGAGTGAAAGAAAGAGATAGAGCGAGAGAGTGAGGGAGAGAGTGAGAAAATGTCACAGAAAAAGAGAGAAACAAAAGAATGATAGTGACCTAAATGAAAACGGAGGCGTAGAAAGTGGAGATAGGTAAATAGATAAATAGATAGATAGATAGATAGAGAGAGAGAGCTAAAGAGAGAGGAAAAAAGAGTGAGCGAAAGCAAGAGAGTGTGGGAGAGAGAAAAAAGAATGACATGAATGAAAACAGAGATGAAGAAAGCGGAGATAGAGGGACAGAGATAGAGAGAGAGAGAGAGTCAAAGGCCAAGAGAGAGAGAGAGAGAAAGAGAGAGAGAGCTGACAAATCGAATGACCTGAATTAAAACTGAGGTGAAGTAAGAGGAGATAAATAGAGAGAGAGAAAGACCAAGAGTAAGAGAGAGAGAGAGAAAAAATCCAAACCTGAATGAAAATCGGAGAAACTGAAAATAAAATACCGAAAATTAAAAATTCTATTTTCCCCCATACAAAAAGAACCAAAATAAAAGGTAAAACGATTGAATTGTAGACATGAAAAAAAAAAGGAGAGATAAAATAAAGACTATCTTTATCTCCAACTTCCATTGCCCATTATAGGCATTAATATATTTACATATCCTGCGAGTATTTCACCGTCAGACAGCCAAACTTGCTCTAAACAGGATACCTCAAAACTGCAAGGCAGTGTCCTAAAATGACATGGCCATTACAGTTAAAGAAGAACTGATTGATATATGCAAATATATATCTACCTGCCACTATTTTTTTCAGGGAGAAACTATAGCACATATCTTATTCTCATGCTTTGGGTACCTAGACATGGTGTAATGCTTAGAAAGCTTGTCTTGCTAGATCAACTACGAATGAGTAATGAACTCGATCCTCACTGGGTACCCCATACTTTCGGCCTTGTGCCGCATCTAAGCCGGGCTTAGAAAATCACTATTACATTTCCCAAGTTGAAAGGTTATGGTATTTCTGGCCGAACTTTTAAACTGGTTCAGTCTTTCTTATTGAATTGTGAAATGAAAATTTTGCTAGTTGACCACTTTCCTTGATTTTATCTCATTAATGCATAATGCAGGCGCACCCCACCCCCAGGGCTCAATCTTTGGGAACACATTGTTCCGAATTTTCCTGATCGCGTTTCCTGATCGCATCAATTCTCAATTCTATATGTATGTTGGCTGATGACACAATCATTTATTCCTATTTAACTGGGGCAAGAAATGGTTTGTTAATTTTGACACCTCCAAAAAGAAACTGTCCGATTTTAATCGTCTTAGAGAACCGGAGACTGACTCATTTCATATTTATTAGTCTACCACTCGTTCTAGCTGCTACATTTGGTCTGGTACACCTGCTATATATTTAGAGATTGTTGATAAGAATACAAACACAATTTGGCATCAATGACTTTTCCAGCGCCGTAATATAGCTTCTCTGTCTCTTTTCTATAAATAATTTAACGGTAATTGCTATGGTGAACTCTGCTATATGGTATCAAGTCTCTATGATTTTAAGAGCAGTACTAGATTGGCGGTAAGGTCTCATCATTTTGCCGTTGAAATGGCTAATAGTTTCTTTTCTCGCACTTCTCGTTTTGGAACACTCTTCCGCCTTTTTGATTTCCAGTCAACTCTGATCTTCAAATATTTTAATGCAATAACATTCGTTAACTTCTTTGTTAATTCATGTCCTTTTATTGTTCTTGTTCCTTAACAATGCTAGATTGTTTTCATGGCTCTTGGAAATCCTCTTCTGTCGATCCTGAACCATATGATCCTTCGCACTGTCGGCCTATTAGCCTTCTGGCTCTTTTTGGAAAATACCTGAGGCTCTAATCAACTCTGAATTGGTTAAGAAGACCACGCAGGTTCTTCTTTAAGATAAGCAATATAACTTTGACTTCTCTGGGTTCACTGCTGATGTGTTAACGGTTATTGCTTAAAGAATCTAGATAAGAACGGTGAAGCTCATTTGCTGCTTTGCATATCTCGAAAGCCGTTGACAGGGTGTGGCGTATGAGTCTTTTTCACAAGTTAAAGCTTCTGCTATTTTGCGGCGAACTTTTAAACTGTTTCAGTCTTTCTTATTGAACTGCGAAATGAAAATTGTGCTAGTCGGAGATTAAGAGGAGTGAGAGGGAGAGAGACAAAAACAAAGAGAGAAAGAGAAAACAAAGAGAATAACATGAATGAAAATCGGAGACACTGAAAAAATAATACCGAAAATTAAAAATTCTATTTATCCTTATACAAAAAAAAAAGGAAAAGGGAAAAAAGTGAGCGAATTGTAGACATGAAAAGAGAGAGGAAAAATAAATAATCTTTGTTATCTCCAACTTCCAATGCCCATTATAGGCATTAATATATATATATATATATATATATATGTGTGTGTGTGTGTGTGTGTGTGTGTGTGTGTGTGTGTGTGTTTGTGAAAAATGTGTGTATATAAATATAAATAAATATATATATATATAATTATTTATATATTATATGCGCGGTACTTATTAGAAAGCGCTCTATATCAGAGATAGAACTAACATATTTGGTTTATTGATGTGAGTTTAGACCCTGGGTTTCACGCTTTTGCGGTCTGACGATCGCAAAAGCGTGAAACCCAGGGTCACAAACTCACATCAATCCAACTAAATATATATATATATATATATATATATATATATATATATATATATATATATATATATATATACCTTTGTAAAGGAGAAACTATAGCACATATCTTATTGTCATGCCTTTTATATTTCTCAAGTTGTATTGTATTTCTGGCCGAACTTTTAAACTGGTTCAGTCTTTCTCATTGAATAGTGAAATTAACTTTGTGCTAGTTGACCATTTTTCTAGATTTTATCTCATTAATGCATAATGCAGCCTCCCCCCCAGGGCTCAATCCTTGGGAACACATTGTTCCTCATTTTTCTCATCGACTTCCCTGATCGCATCAGTTCTCAACTCATTATCTATGTTGGCTGACGACATAACCATTTATTCCTATTTACTGTCTGCTGTTAACAGGGGCAAGAAACGGCTTGTTACTTTTAACACCTCCAAAAGGAAACTGTCCGCTTTTTATCGTCTGAGAGAACTGTTTTTAACTTCCATCAGCATGGCAGACGGTAACCTCGAGGACATTGACTCATTGCGACTTGACGCTGACATGAAGTGCGAACATTATATTTAATCAAGTTTTGCTTTTGTCATTTTTCTCAAATTTCAAAGCCCAGCAGTTTTTAAATTTAATTCCTTTCCCATGTCGGAGTCTCTCTTAACAAACTTTCTTATATTTGATTGAATCATCTTTTGATGTTAAAGTTCAATCGAATTAGTTAATATTCCATTTGCAGAAAAAGATGGAAGAGATGAAAAATAATAAGAACATTTTAATAGAGTATTTGGAAAGAGAATAACTCTCTTGGTTATCTCCCTTCACGACAATCCATCTAGGATATAGACCTATACTAAGCCTGTTGCTAGGAAAGTCACTTCATTGTGACGTGATAGACAATAATTCTTGATAGAATCTCTCTTACATATTTATATGTACAGCATTTAGCCATGCATTGAATATTGCTGTCACATTTGGTCTGGTGCTTCTCTTATGTATTTGAAGATGGCTAAATCCGTATTTTGTCGTATTAAGGACATTGGGTAAAAGTCATACGAAAAAAAAAGAAAGGGCAGTTCATGCCTGCACACAGCAAAACTATTACTAAACAGGTTGAACCATCCAAAAAAAGCTTTCAGAGGAAAAGAATTCCAATCAGGATTAATAAGTGAAATGAAATAATGATAGGTGATTGTGTGCGGTGCTTCTAATATTTCTTGCTTCATTAATGGTTTTAAGGATAGTGAAGGACACGTTATGCCACTAAATTATTTTCAGCAGGGTTTCGGTTGAAATCTGGTGACTACAGTGTGGTTCTGGCAACAGTTGTGAAGCCCTGGACAGACCATTTATGCAACGGAAGGCTGTGTCTGTTTTCAAAAACTTCTGCACCTTCTCACAAAGCTGTGGCGATACAAGATTAGATGGCGACCAATCTGCAGGACCATATTACAGCAAAGATGTGGCCACCTAACTCAAAAGACGTAAATCACATTGAATATTACATTGTTGAACCGGAGACTATTTCACAATGTGGTTGATTCCCTGAAAGCCGCCATTACCCGAATAATGTTCAGTATAAATAGAGACGATGTGATGCGTCCATGTTAATGATGACAATTCCCTAAACAATCGTCATTGCGACTGAAAGTTGTTACACAGATTAAACACGTAATCCAACCTTTAATGCAGCTATGTACCAAATTTTCTATCAATACATTTAGTTGTTTGTAAAATTTGGTTGTTTTTCTTACGGTTTTCATATAAATTACGCACCGTGTATAAATCTTACTTTGACTCATACAGGCATTTTAATGACTGTCAGTGAAATTTATAAATAACTGTGAAATGCAGAAACACGATATGAGAAGCAACAAGAAACGAATAAGGTAATTACAGCAGACCTTAGTCACACGAGATTACACAGCAATGTAATCATCGAAAAAGGCGCTACATCTTCACACCTGACACCTACTCCTATTTCTTTCGAGCGAAGCAATGTTTCATTTTGATCAGAGCTCGCATCTTCGAATGACAGAGGAGAAGGAAGGTCGAGAAGGCCAGAGAATGAGGAGCCGGACGCTGAATCAAATGAGTGTTGCAATGTAGAATGATATCAAAGTTGAATGGTGACAGGACCAAACCCAGCTGCCATACTGGATTAGGATGGATGAGGGAATTCTGGGTTTGAAAGAACGAAGTAAGTGAACTATAATGACCCCTAAGTGAAGAACATGTCTGCCTGTTTGACGACGAGAGCTGACTTTCTGCGGCCAGTTATGAGACTACGTCGAATGGTTGCAACAGAGTGGTTAGGTGTCATTAAGGCTTCGTAGATGACAGCGCACTGTGCTAAAGATGGTAGAAACGTGTTTTAATTGTTTGATTTATTTGGGTTATTTGGAAAAGAAGAGATAAACCAGGAATCTAAATAATCACCTAGATACGAACACAACACCGCTTTTATATATATATATATATATATATATATATATATATATATATATATATATATATAGTTAAACTCTCTATATCAATTCTGTGGTCTAAAATGAAAAAAATGGAAAAAAATCTTTAAAAAATCTAAATTTAAAATGATAGATGCTTCTGCCTAAGTCTTTTTTCTGGTTAATGTAAACTACCCTTATAGTATATATTATATATATATATAATTATTTATTTAAAAATATGATTCCAAATCGCG